CCCGTGCAGGTGTTTTAACGAGGCCGCCTGCGCCTTGATCCCTCCGGTCGACGGCTCAGTGATGGTTTTGCAGCCGGAGGAGCCCAAGATCAGCCTGAGCGGCGTCCACCATTTCGCTCGAGCAGCTTCTGAATTTGAAAGCTCAGAGGGGGTTTTCCTTTTCCCTGAGCTTCGGATCATCAGCACCGTCACCAGAGAAGTGGAGCCCGACGGGGAAGGGGACGAGGACCCCACAGGTACGGCCGTCAGCCTGGGACGGCTCATGGCCACTGTTGCGGCCCACGCCTGGGGCCCTTGTTCTCGGGGGGTTGGGAGACTTGAATGTTTTGACGCTTCTGGACTCTGACGCGAAGGCAGAGCTCATTGCGATCTTTGGAAACCCACTTTGATTTTTCTGGCTTGACGTCTGCTGGTGGGTCCCCCCTCCGGGGACAGGGCCCCCCATTCTGGCCCCCCAGTGGCAGGTCTTCCTAACCGGGCTGCTTCTGCAGTCCAAGAGTCCCTGGTGTCCGAGGAGATCGTGCACGACCTGGACACGTGTGAGGTGACAGTGGAGGGCGAGGAGCTGAACCCCGAGCAGGAGAGCCTGGAGGTGGACATGGCCCGCCTGCAGCACAAGGGCATAGAAGTGAGCCGCTCCGACCTGGGCGTGGTCTTCACAGGTGAGAGGCCCCTGCCCTCCTCTCAGGGCCCCGGAGTTCCTGGAGGGCGTTTCCTGGGGCAGGCAAGGGCGCGAGCACTCCCTGCCTCATGTCCCGTCCTGACGGGGGTCGAGGCCAGGCCCGTGTCACATCCTCAGGAGGGAGACGCCCCGCACCCTCTGGGTTCCCTCCCACAGTTGGAAAGCCAGTGACCGCTGGCTCAGCAGCCCGGTGCCTGGTGCCAGCTGGCCCTGGCCCCGCCGTGCTCCCAGCTCAGCCACCGCCCTGTCTCGCTCCCCCGCAGGCGTGGACACCATGGCCAGCTACGAGGAGGCGCTGCACCTCCTGCGCTATCGGAACTGGAACGCCAGGTCCTTGCTCGACCGGAAGTTCAAGCTCGTCTGCTCCGAGCTCAATGGCCGCTACATTAGCAATGAGTTTCAGGTGGAGGTGAGTGCAGGCTGCCCTGGAGAAGGGCCCCCTGCGTGGCCCTGGGGTTGGCAAATGCCGATATTTAGAGCGACTGTGGCAGCAACTCCTGGGTCTGTCCCAGGGGTGTAGCCTTTTCCAGCCTGGAGACACGCCGGGGGGCACGGGGCAGGTCATGGGGTGCCTCAGCCCAAGAGCCTGGAGCCTCTCGAGGGAGCTGGTCGAGCTGAGAGCAGGCGCAGGGAGTGGGGCCGGGGCTGTTTGAGGTGTGACCTGCGGTAGGAAGAGCAGCACCGGGAGTGAGGCTGTTTGCAGTTGGTGAGACGCTGCTGTGAGGAGATGCTCGCTCAGGTGAGGCTGCTGACGTGGGGCCGGCCCAGGGCCTGCTGTGGTGACCCGGCCACGGTGGCCAGAGGGCCTCTCCCTGCTGAGACTCTGGGGCCTCCTCAGCTACCCCGTCCCTCAGGCTTCTGTGGGACACATTCTCTGGCATCCCGCATCCACGTGACCTCCTGGCAGCAGGAGGCTAAGCTCACGGCAGGCCAGTGGATGGGAGCTTTGAGCCAGAGGGTCACGCTCTAAAAGGAAGTGAGCGGTTGCGACCTGCACTCTCCTGCACGCGGCTGTGGTTTCGGGGACGAGGGAGAGCCTGGCCAGCGCTTCTCAGACGCCCTGTGGCTCTTCCCCAGTCGGATTCTTCTAGAAAGTGCTGCCAGGATGAGTTACTTGAAGTGATACATTCCTGGGGGTGACGGTGTCACCTTGCCACAGAGTGTCTAAGTGTTTGCCTTGGTTTCTCCTGTCCTTTTCCCACCTGCTCACCAGCACCGTCCGGGGAGCTTTGGGGGCCGCTGGTGTCCCCCAAAGGGGGGATATGTCCATCTGAGCGCATGTGTGTCTAGCACACTCAGCTGCCTCTCCGTCTGCCGCAGGTGAACGTGATCCACACGGCCAACCCCATGGAGCACGCCAGCCACATGGCCGCCCAGCCGCAGTTCGTCCACCCTGAGCATCGCTCCTTCGTCGATCTCTCGGGTCACAACCTGGCCAACCCCCATCCGTTCGCAGGTGGGACTGTGGGCCCCTCCCCCCTCCTGCCAAGAGCCCAGCTCCTGCTCAGAGCAGCCTGGCCGCCAGGTGCCAAGGAGCCTGAAGCACCCACAGAGGGCAGGCTCGGGCGTGGCTGTGGGCAGTGCTGAGCTTTTCCCGTTTCCTGTTGTCCCACGGGGTCCAGGGAAGCGTCCAGCGTCTGTGCGGGGGAGGTGGTGGGCACGGTGGGCACGGTTGGCACGGTGCCCCGGTGGGGTTCATGGCCAGGACCCGTCCGTCCATCCCATTGCAGTGGTCCCCAGCACGGCCACCGTGGTGATCGTGGTGTGCGTCAGCTTCCTCGTGTTCATGATCATCCTGGGCGTGTTCCGGATCCGGGCTGCACACCAGCGCACCATGCGGGACCAGGACACCGGCAAGGAGAGCGAGATGGACTGGGACGACTCCGCCCTGACCATCACCGTGAACCCCATGGAGGTGGGCAGCCAGGGTCAGAGCCGGGCTCACCTCAGAGAGGCCTGTTTGAGGCCGTGCCACCAGCAGGAGTGGAGAACAAAGCTTTGTTTTCCATTTCGTCTTTGACGAGACAACTTCGAGCACAGCCCAGCCTGTCTGGCTGCGGAGTGTGACACGGAGCCTTCCTCTGTGGGGCCGGACAGGAACCAGCTGGGTAGTCGGGCTGTGAGCTGGGGCGGGGCTGGGGACCACTCACAGGGCTGTCTCTTTGTCAGACGTACGAGGACCAGCACAGTGAGGAGGAGGAGGAGGAAGAGGAAGAGGAGAGTGAGGATGGCGAGGAGGAGGACGACGTCACCAGCGCCGAGTCGGAGAGCAGCGAGGAGGAGGAGGAAGGCGGGGAGCACGGGGACCAGAAGCCAGCCAACAGGCAGCAGCAGCTGGAGTGGGACGACTCCACCCTCAGCTACTGAGCGCACCCTCCTCCCGCCTCCCCGAAGTCTGCTGTTGGCTGCGCCCTGCCCAGGCCCACCGTGTACAGTCGTCTGGCCAGTAGGTCTGCAGACCCTCCCCTCGCGACCATCACCCCTGCTTGGTGTGCGGGACCCCAGGCTCCCTCCCTGCCCTCTGCCTGGACCTCTGTGTGTGAGGAGCTGACACCCACTCCCTCCTGTCATCTCGCTCCGCGTGGCCCCTCGCACCTCCAGAAACGCTAAACCTGGACTCGGTGACAAAGGGTTAAAACTGCTCACTCCCACTGGGTAATCCTTTTGTTCTTTTTTTTTTTTTTAATTTTTTTCCAAACTAGTGCATGTACAAAATGGCCGAATGGGGGTTCATATGTAGATGAACTTTTTAATATTTTGTAAATAAATTGGGATTCCTTGTGTCCTTCGTGCTAGTATAACCCAGGGTTGGAACGCAAGGTGAGGTGTGAAACCCTGAGCGCAGGAGACCCTCGGGACCCTGCTCCCCAGACAAGAGCGGGTCTGCCCCCTCGGGCACTGGGCACCGGATTGTCCTGCCGCAGGTCTCGCTCCTGTGTGGGCCAGGGTGGAGGGGGCCCTCTTTGGGGGCTGGAAAGGCCAGTTCCTATCTTTAGGGCCCCACCCGTTTCCCATGCAGCAGCGGGTGGGCGCTGGGTCCCGGTTTGTTTGCACACAGCTCCTTGTGCAGGAACCCGGACTCCTGTGTGCAAACTGGGGCTCATGCTTAGCTGTTGGTTGCGTACATGAGGCGTGTGGGTAATGGGAGGGGCACACCGTCTGCTCTTGGTCTGGAGACGGCAGCAGGCCCGAGTGACCCACACTCAGAGTCTGGGGACACACTCACTGACAGGCGCCCAGTGGCCCAGAGAGTGACTCCCCCCCCCCGCCCCCTCCGCCGCGGCCTGAGCTCTGCTCCCTCCCAGAGCCCACCCGCTCCCAGGAGTGCGGGCGCTGCTGTGCTTGGCGGCGAAAGGAAAGGGGGCGAAAGGCATGAGCACACCCCAGCACTTTGTTCTTAATTTACGTGTAACACTTCAGATTTCTAAAACGGGGTGGGGTGGGGGGTGTAATTTTGAATACTGTTCTGTGACCCTAACTGCTAGTTTTGAGGACACTGTGTGTCGTGTGTCTGTGGCCATCCCTCCATGTGCTGTCACTGTAGCTGCTGTTTAGGCCGTGGACAGACACCAGCGGAGATGAGCCGTCCTGGCTGTCTTGGCCACGTGTACGTTGAAAAGAGGTCGGAAGTGTCTGCACTACAATAAAGATCTGGTTCTAACTCCAGCAGGCGAGCTGTGGTCTTTCCTGCACCCCGGGTCCTCTCCGCGCCAACAAAGTGCCACGAAAAGGCTTTTATTTCTTCAGCTGCTGTACCTCTCACATGCTGCTCCTCAGCTGCACCGTCATGCTGAACGCTTCCCCACACAGAACACAAAAGCGTTTAAAAAAATAGGTACTATCCTCCTCACAGGCGCACAGGCCGTGCGCCCGGCCAGAAGCTGCTGTGCACACAGGGAGCTGCCCACACCAGGGAGCACGCTGCTCCTGCACCTAAATACAGACAGACACGCGGCTTCTCCTCGGTCCAGAGCGGCCGGGGGTCTGAGAGGCAGCACCTGCTGGGAGCAGTGTGGCTGGTGGTGTCCGGGGGCACGGACTGCTCCTGGGCTGGGGAGAGGCAGCGACCTCGGGCTCTGCTGAGCCGTGCACGGCCTTGGGGGATCCGCAGTGCAGCCTGCTGCTAGCTCACTAGGGTGGCTGCCGGCTCCTGGAGGCCCGG